AAAAATGCTCTTCATCACTGGTCATTAGAGAAATGCAAATCAAAACCACATTGAGATACCATTTCATGCCAGTTACAATGCCAATCATTAAATAATCTGGAAACAACAGATGCTGGAGAGGATATGGAGTAATAGGAATGCTTTTATCTGTTGGTGGGAGTGTAAATTAGTTCAACCATTGTGGAAGACAGTATGAGGACTCCTCAAGAATCTAAATAGAAATACCATTTGACCCAGCAATCCCATTACTGTGTATATGCCCAAAGGATTATAAATCATTCTATTATAAAGACACATACACATGTATGTTCATTGCAGCACTGTATAATAGCAAAACCTGGAACCAACCCAAATCCCCATCAATGATAGACTGGATAAAGAAAATGTGGCACATATACACCATGGAATACTATGCAGCCATACAAAGGATGAATTCATGTCCTTTGTAGGGACATGGGTGAAACTAGAAACCATCATTCTCAGCAAACTGACACAAGAACAGAAAACCAAACATGACATGTTCTCACTCATAAGCAGGTGTTGAACAATGAGAACACATGAACACAGGGAGGGGAACATCACACACTAGAGTCTATTGCCGGATGGGGGGCTAGAGGAGGGATAGCAGGAGGTGGGGAGATTGGGAAGGGATAACATTAGGAGAAATACCTAATGTAGGTGATGGGGGCATGGAGGCAGCAAACCACCATGGCATGTGTATACCTATGTAACAATCCTGCAAGATCTGCACATGTACCCCAGAACTTAAACTATTATATACATAAAAGTTTACTCTATCTAAGTAAAAGATATGAAAGTAGAAGTTTATGGAAAGTAGAAGAAATTAGATTGACACTTGTCAAATGTGTATGTCAGAAAATAACAGGAAGTAAATCAGGTAAATAGAAAGAAGATAGGCTACGGGGGCTTTGGAATCTTAGCAAGTTAAAATATCATCCCACTATCACACAACCAGACAGGGCTCAAACCGGGACACAGCCCACACAGAACTGTTGCATTATTTGTTCACAAAGCCCCATCTCAAATATATTTTTCAGAGTTTGCATGGTAGAAAATAATTATTTCCAGAGCAAATAGCTGTTTTGATGGGCAAATGATGCTATCATCATGCAAACATGTCTTCAACTTTATTCCTATATTATAGACCTTCCCCAGTCAGATCATCCTCCAGGAGGTGTCCATTTGGCAAAACTCGTCCTTTGTCACCTCTTTGTCTTTTCGGCTGCTGCTCCATCTAGAGACAGCACACTCCTTCCTGCTGGCTTCAGAAGGAATTCTATCTGCTCTTAGATCATAAACTCTGAGAACATTGTGTTCTTTATCCCAGTCCTCTAAACCCACACTGATATCTTCTTTCTCTGAAACTTTTTAGGATTTACAATTTATACCACATGATTGTGTCCTTAATTATAACCTACCTTGAATTGTTCTCTAATCTTAATGTCATTGTCTTAGTAAAAATAACATATGTATGTACAGAAACCACATCATATTTTTTTCTCTGTCCTGAATAGTTCTAAATGTATATTATCTTTATTGTTCTCTTTCCTTTTCTTCAGTACAGTGTTACTCACATAGTCCTAGGGATCAGTGATACTAATGGTTAACATGGCCAGTATCTTCAATATCCTCTCCTGGGAGAGCTGAATAGAACATAAAACTAGGAACATTTTGCAAATTTCCAAGTCACTTAACCTTTTAAAGATGATCTCACTGAACACTAGCAGATAATACAGAGAGCTGAAATAATGAAGATGGGTTTTTCCTCTGCTTTTTTTTCTGTTTGAGAAATGAGTTATGGGTTCTAAATTCTGAAATGTTCAATTCACCCACTTCAGAAAAATAAGCATATTAAAATGCATTGTTTATTTAAAAGTTTCTCCTAGCAGCACCCAAAATTTAAAATCCAGATGAGTCACAAGTTTCTCTATGTTTAATTCAGGGACCAGAACTAATCCAAGGTCAGGAAAGATCAGAGTGATAGGCAAAACAGTGCCCCCTAGTAGTTTATAGCACTCCTTCAAGGAGTGAAATAGTCCCAGAGTTAACTTAATTAGCAATGGATTAATTTGATAGTTGGGTAGTTAGAATTTAAAATATTTTATTAGGAAAAGTATTGGCTGATGTGTTAATTCTTGCCATTCTTGCAAAATGATGTTGGATATACCTTTTTATTTTCCTTTGTAATAATTTTTGCATGTACACTTGTATGAGGTAAGATGATTTAAGAGAGGAATTGTATAATGTTATCAGATGCTTCCTTAAAACTCTTCCATTGAAGATTGATAGTGTATTCTCAGGGTGCCATAATTCCCCTCTTCATTCCCAGATGGCAATTTGTCATGTCAGGATGTACAGAAAGATTTTGATATATACACACATTTCTCTTTATCATCTCTCGCGGTCTCTAGTAACAATTCAACAGGTCAGTCAGTGTGTGGGGGGCTCTGAAAAGGCCCTTTTACTAGGAATTACGAACTAAAAAGGCTAGACCTGGAATTAGCCTCGCCATGGGTGACTCCCTTCTGGTTTGGTCGGGTGTGTGGGCCTAGTGTAGGAGCTCCATCCAAAACAATGGCATCCCTTAAACTGTATTTGACACTGATCAGAACACCTCATTAAACAGGTAAATCATTAATTCTGCAGTCCCTGAGGCTGATTTTCAGGGTCAAGGAGCAGATACGTGGAGGTCTTAAAGGAGAGAAAGAATGCAATATAGCCAAAGAAAAAAACGGCCATGATTCCTTTCTTCAAAGGAGCTTACACTTTGCACAAGAAAACATTCAATTATCCTTTCAGAATAAAGTAAGAATTTATATAAAACAAAGTACTCTTTTGCTTACACACAGTAAGAAATAGTTTATCATTTAACATATATGAGAAAGTCTATTTCTTACTATCATCTTTCTCTTAAAATTCCACATTCCATAGGATATAAGCTCACTTCTTCATTTGAAACAAATTATACTATTAATTTATTAAAGGTCCACCTTAGTCATTAATGTAAAGAGTTCTAAAAATCAGTTCATTCTCCAATGAATCCCATGAGGTGACAAACTTCATTCAACCATTTAGCATCCCAGGCTTTAGTAGGAACAGCCTAGAATCACCAGGCTTTGAGGAAAGTCTCAATGGTCAAAGACAAAGACAAAAATAAACAAGTGGGGAAAACTACAAAACAAAACAAAAGAAAGACTGGCCTGAAAGAAACATTAAAAGAAAACTATCAATAAAAATCCCTAGAGAAGGGCTTCTGAATCTCACCAAGATAGAGTAACAGCAACTGAATGTATCCATCTTCCTGCCTTAAACACTTAGAAAACTGGATATGAAAAAATGGTTTCCAGACAATGAACAATAGACAGGGCAGGGCTGAGGTCTCCGAGAGAAGGGAAACAAGCCACATGAGCCCTACAGTTGGCCCAGATGGAGGCAGTCTCCGGGTTGCAAGGTAGGGAGAGCGATCTAAAGAGAGCACAGAGTTGAGGAGACAGAGACGAAGTGTGGGGAGGCGTGAGTGGTTAGAATTTGCAGGACCAAGTGCAAGGGAGGAGGAGCGGTTGGTGGGGGAGCGCACCTGAGCCTGGAGACCTGAGGCTGAGGACTGATTGGAACATGTGTGCAAGGCAGGAAAGAAATACCAGAAAGGAACAGAGAACAATTCCACTAACCTTTGGGAGCAGAAAATAGTACCAAAGTGTTATGACAGATGTTCAGGGAACTGCCGCTTTTCATAAAAGCCTTTGTGGAAGTATTTGTCTTTTGAAGCTAAGTGCCTACAAAACCCCAATCAAAGCAGTGTTTAAAAAACCACTTATTATAGCAGCACTATTCACAATAGCCAACAGGTGGAAACAACCCAAACATCCATCAACAGATGAATGGATAAACAAACTGGTATAGCCACACAATGGAATATTATTGTGCAATGGAAAGGAAGTCCTGATACATGCTAAAATGTAGATGAAGCTGCATTATCTTGAGTGAAAGAAACTGGACACAAAAGGATACATAGTATATGATTCCACTTATATGAAATAGCCAGAATAGATAAATCCATCCAGGCAAAGTGCAGTGTTAATTGGAGGAGTGGGCAGAAACTGCTTAATTATGGCTAGTGTTCCATTATTGGAACGCTAAGTTTGTGGGAGTTATTTACATCCTACTGTTCAAGGTCATGGCCAAGGTCAGATTAAAAAAAAAAAATTGCAACCTCTGGCGTAAATGGGTTAATGGGTAAGGGATTTTATTTTGGAGTGATGAAATTTTTAGAGCCAGATAGAACTGATGGTTGCACAACATTATGATTGTACTAAATGCCACTGAATTGTTCACTTTAAAACAATTCATGTTATGTTATGTTATGTGAATTTCACCTCAATAAATTATTTCTAAAAAAAACCCTTATTAGACAAAAACGACAGATGCTATATTGTAGCGGGGGGGCGGGGGGGGGGCGTTCCGAAGACCCTCTTAGTTTCCCTATCCGAAGTCCTTGGCCTTTCTTACCCCCAAGAATGGGGAAAGGGACCCAGAGGCGCGGTGAGCTCACCATTTGAAGAAATATCGTGGACCCAAAGAGTTTTGCAGAAAAAGTGATTTGTTAGGCAGTGACGGGGGCGGAGAGAGAGTGCTCAGCTGTTGCGGGCGGGAAATCGCGAGGAGGTAGCCATATGGGTAAGAAGTTGCGGAGTTTTCCGTTTGAAAGAACTCCTCTCATTGGACAAGATGAATGAGGCGGGAATAACCCTGGAGTTATTCCCTCCTTCATCTTCAATCACTCCAGAGGAAGTTTGAAAGAACTCCTCTCATTGGAGTTATTCCAGGGTTAGTCCCGCCTTCATCTTCTTGTCCAATGAGAGGAGTTCTTTCAAACGTCCTCTGGCGTGATTAATCTTTGACTGTGATACCGGATTGGCTGCTTGGTCCGCAACAGAGCCCCCCCCCCCCCCCCCAGAGCTTTCCACAGGCTTTTTAGACAAAGAAACGCACATGAGTTCCTCTAACTAGCCCGCTGACGGGAAACTTAGATAGAGCTTTACGTTCCGGATTGGGACGTAGTTGGAGGCGTGGTGCTGGGAAACTTGTCTTTGAAACCAAGCTTCTTGTGGACCCGGTAAGAGAGGTTTTTTTTCCTTAACACAGTCCCTCAATATGTAGTCAAGTTTTGAATGTGAATTGCCAAGTAGTTGAGCTCTAGTTAAGCTTTGTAGTAACTAACACAATTTATTTTCTCCAGAAAGCTTCATGGAAAGACTTCCAAAAGATTAGATCCTCAGTAAATGCCAGTCCTCATTGCCGCAATATTAACATAACAAAGTTGCTAATTTGTTTGTAATTACCGGAGAAGTAAACAGTGCCTAGGGGAGAGGGGGTGGTTGTTGATGCTAAAATCTCTACCACATTTGTACAGAGAAGCTTTGAAGCACCTTTGTTGTTTAGCAAAATACAAATTGCTTTTTGATTCAACACTGCTACCACAAGTGGAAAATTTCTCCTAATTTAAACTCAGCTGAAGAAGAGAATTAGATCTAAGTGTATAATGAATGAGAGCTATTTAGAAACATGAATATAAATGTCCCATGGTTTATGGTCATTCCTTCCATTCAGCAGCTTATGGGTTTGTCTTCTCCAGCTTGTGTTTGTATTCTGATAGCTAAGATTTTATCTGTATCTGTGTTCCACATATTACAGTGCCATTTGACACAGGAAAAGCTGAAAGATAAATGACTTTAAGTTTAGATTTCTTTTTATTTGAAGGAAAATTAAACTCATATAGAAACATCATAAGCATGTTCTTGTGGGGTTTTGTTTTGTTTTTGCAACCTACCTTTTTTCTTTAACAAGAAAAAAATTAACAAGTTATTTTTTTTTCTTTTGTATTTCAAACTAGAACATAGAGGAAACCCAGTTGTTTAAGGCAAAAGATCAGGACAGAACTTTATTTTTTCTGACGCAACTTTTCTATGACTATTATAAGCAATAAACAGGCACACCTTGTTTCATTGTGCTCACTTTATTGCACTTCATAAATGCTGCGTGAGTGTGTGTGTGTGAAATGAAGTCTCGCTGTGTTACCCAGACTGGAGTGGAGTACCATGGCACAATCTTGGCTCACTGAAACTCCTGCCCCCAGGTTCAAACAATTCTCCTGCCTCAGCCTCCCAAGTAATTGGGATTACAGTTACCTGCCACCATGACCAGCTAATTTTTATATTTTTTGTAGAGATGGGGTTTCGCCATGTTGGCCAAGCTGGTCTCAAACTCCTGACCTCAGGTGATCTGCCTGCCTCAGCTCCCAAAGTGCTGGGATTACAGGCAAGAGCCACTGCACCTGGCCACAAATGTGGCTTTTTTTTTTTTACAAATTGGAGGTTTGTGGCAACCCTGCATCTAGCAAGTCTATTTATGCCGGTTTTCCAACTGCACGTGCTTATTTTGTGTCTCCCTATCACATTTTGGCAGTTCTGGTAATGTCTCAAACTTTTTCATTGCTAAGGCGATCTGTGATGGGGGATTTTTTTTTTTAATGTTACTATTGTCATTGTTTGGGGAGCCGCCACGGACTGTGCCCGTCCAAGACAGCAAACCTAAGCAATAAATTGCATAGTTCTGACTGCTCCACCGACTGGCTATTCCCCCACCTTTGTCCTTCTCCTCAGTCCTCCCTATTCCCTAAGACACAACGATACTAAGTTAGGCCAGTTAGTAACCCTACAGTGACATCTAAGTGTTCAAGTAAAATGAAGATTCACATGTCTCTCACTGTAAATCAAAATCTAGAAGTGATTAAGCTTAATGAGGAAGGCATGTCAAAAACCAACAAAGGCCGAAAGCTAGGTTTCTTGAGCCAGAACAATTAGCCCAATTATGCTTGCAAAAGAAAAGTTCTTGAAGGAAATTGACAACTACTCTGGGAAACACATGAATGGCAAAAAAGTAAAACAGCTTTGTTACTGAAAAGTTTGAGTGGTCAGTATAGAAGATCAAATTAGACATGACTTTTCCTTAAGTCAACTCTAATTCAGAGCAAGACTCTAATTCTCTTCAATTCTCTGAAGGTTGAGAGAGGTGAGGAAGCTGCAGAAGAAGAGTGGGAAGCTAGCAGAAGTTAGTTCATGATGTTTTAAGAAGCAGTCTCCGTAACATAAAAGTGCAAGATTAAGCAGCAAGTGCCAATAGGAGGCTGCATCAAGTTATTCAGAAGATCTAAGATCATTGATGAAGGTAGCTACACTAAGCCACAGATTTTCAAAGGGGATGAAACAGTCTTCTGTTGGAAGATGTCATCTAGAACTTTCATAGCTAGAGAGGAGAAGTTGATGGCTGGCTTCAAAGATTCAAAAGACAAGCTGATTCTCTTTTTAGGAGCTAGTGCAGCTGATTATTCTCAGTTGAAACTAATGCTCAGAGACCATGCTGACAAATCCTAGGGTCTTTAAGAATTATGCTAAACCACTCTGCCTGCACTCTAGGAATGGAACAACAAAGCCTGGATAACAGTGTGTCTGTTTATAGCATGATTTACTGAATATTTTAAATACGTTGTTGATGTGTACTGCTTAGGAAAAAACATTCCTTTCAAAATATTACTGCTAACTGACAATGTGTCTGCTCACCCAAGAGCTCTGATGGGAGATATGCAAAGAAGATGAATGTTATTTTTGTGCCTCATAACCCAACAAACGTTCTGCAGCCCATGGATTGAGTAATTATTTCAACTGTCAAGTATCGTTATTTAAGAAATGCATTTTATAAGGCTATGCCTATCATAGATAGTGATTCCTCTGTTGGATCTGGGCAAAGTGAAAACTTGCTGAAAAGAAGTCATCGTTCTACATGCCATTATGAATGTGATTCATGGGAGAAGGTCAACATATCAACATTAACAGGAGTTGGGAAGAAGCTGATTCCAACCCTCATGCATAACTTCAAGGGTTCAAGAGGAACTATAGATGTACTGGAAATAGAGCAAGAACTAGAATTGGAAGTGGAGCCTGAACATATGAATGAGTTGTTGCAATCTTATGATAAAATGTTAACAGGTTGAACATGGTGGCTCATGCCTGTAATTCCAACACTTTGGGAGGCCAGGTTGGGAGGATGACTTGAGGAGTTTTTAGCAAAAAAAACTGAAGTTTGGGACGAGCGTGGGAAACATGGTGAAACCTTGTCTCTACAAAAATATTTAAAAAATAGCTGGGACTGAGCACAGTGGTTCACACCTGTAATCTCAGCACTTTGGGAGACGAAGGCAGGCAGATCACTTGAGACCAGGAGTCAAGACCAGCCTGGCCAACTGTTGAGATTCACTTGGGGAGTCTGGCAAAATATTATGGAAAATATTAGGAAAAGTTATAGATTATAATCTCAAACCTTTTGGAAGGCCGAAAGGTTTTATTAGGACAGGCCAAAGGCAGCCAGTTCATTCCTAGGGAAGAGATAGGGATGATAAAAGGTTTCCCAGTTTAAGTCTGTTTATCCCACATCCCTTTGTCTCTACTTTGTTTACTCATGTAAATTTTGTACTGGATGGTCCTCTCGGGGAGATCAAAGGGGAATTACCCGTTAATAGGGTTTACGCTGGGCCTGGAACCAAAAGCTTTTATCATTTGTAAAACCACTCTTTTAACCATGTTAATTATCCACAAGTGTGTTGACTTAGAACCTCTGTTGTAAAATCTTGGCTAAATAAATGTGTGGATGGACAGGGGGTCTTGGTCAATTGGCTGCATTTCACCCTCTGAAAGCAGCCAACGACCATCCCTAGCTTACTTGACTCACTGAACTAGGTCTGAGAGTGCATTCATTTGTCTGTTGTTGAGTCAGGGTCTGCAGGCCAGACCTCCGCAGGTGGTGATCAACAACTCAGCCAACATGGCAAAACCCCATCTCTATTAAAAATACAAAAATTAGCTGGTAGGGTAGCATGTACCTGTAGTCCCAGCTACTTGGGAAGCAGAGGTTACACTGAGCTGAGGTCAGGCCACTGGACTCCAGCCTGGGTAACAGAGCAGGACCCTGTCTTTAAAAAAAAAATCAACAGATGAGGAGTTGCTTTTTATAGATGAGCAAAGAAAGTGGTTTCTTGAGAAGATGCTGCGAACATTGTTGAAATGACAACAAAGGATTTAGAATGTCACAAACATATTTGATAATAATGGCAGTCTTTGAGAGATTGACTCCACTTTTGGAAGACTTTCTGCTATATGTAAAATGCTATCAACAGTATCACAGGCCGGGCGCGGTGGCTCAAGCCTGTAATCCCAGCACTTTGGGAGGCTGAGATGGGTGATCACGAGGTCAAGAGATCCAGACCATCCTGGTCAACATGGTGAAACCCCATCTTTACTCAAAATACAAAAAATTAGCTGGGCATGGTGGCACGTGCCACCATGGGTTCAGGCAATTCTCCTGCCTGAACCCAGGAGGCGGAGGTTGCGGTGAGCCGAGATTGTGCTATTGCACTCCAGCCTGGGTAACAAGAGCAAAACTCCGTCTCAAAAAATAAAAAAAAAACAGTATCACATGCTACTGAGAAACTTTTCTGAAAGGAAGACAATTGATACAATAAACTTCATTGTTATATTATTTTAAGAAATGGCCACGGCCACTCCATCCTTCAGCAGTCACCACCCTGATCAGTTAACAGCTATCAACATCAAGGCAAAATCCTCTACTTGCTGAAGGTTCAGTTAGCAATTTTTAGCAATAAAGTATTTTTTAAGTATGCACTTTTTGATATAATGTTACTGCACACTTAATAGACTACAGCATAACATAAATTTTATATGCACTGAGAAACCAAAAAATTCATGTGACTCACTTTATTGCAATATTCACTTTATGGAGGTGGTCTGGAATAGAACCTGTATTATCTCTGAGAATTTACATGATACCACAGAGAGTTTAGAAACACAGGAAGGTACAAAGAGGAAAATAATGTCACAGTAAACATTCCCACCCAGAGATAAAGTTTTTTTTTCCTTTTAGTCTTTCAGTTTTCTAGTCTTACAGTCTCAGGCTATAGTATGATATCATCCCCTGATTTTTAAGTTTTTATTATATCATGAGCATTTTCCATGTCATTAAGTATATTTTTCAAAACATCATTTC